GTTAAGCCGAACAGCAATTTAACAAGCAACAGCGACACAGAATCAGGAACAAGGAGATAATATAAGGACACTAAGTAGGGACCATCTGCAGATCCTCCACAAAAGTCACAAAACTCCCATACTACTGAATTTCAGCATTAGAAAATCCCCGACTGTGACAGTACACAGATACCAGTACAAATTAGGTCAGAAGCTATAGCTCAGGACTTGAGTTTCTCAAAGTGTCTATGCGACACACAACCTCGGTACAACGTCGAAAAATCACTAAGTCTAGGCCATGTTCTGTGAACAGAGTTACACAGAACCAACAACAAGAAAAAGACAGAGACGATCTTCCAACAAGGGCCATCAAGGGAAAGTTGGAGAGGCCGTCTTGTTGGAAGACACATCAAACAGACAATCACTAGTGCAGGCCAGACAGACTCTCCTCCAGGTGAGATGTGATCACCCACCACCCTGATCACGTGACTCTCCGTGGACTGCTGCTGCCCAGCAACACAGAAGCGTAACGAGCAGAGTGAAAATTACAGTAGTTAGACAACGTTGTCAGCTACTTAACACTCACGAACTATGAGCACTGAATAATATATAAATGTTACATCCTACCTAATAATATAATTAAGTCAAATAATAATATAAAGCAATATGTTTACGATTTAGCTAATATCGCAAATATAAGCAATATAAAATTATATGAACAGGTAATATACATTATATTCATTGTGAACCATTCAGGGGTTGCAATACCAGGTATCCCAGTGAGGCCCATATCCTCGGGAATAGGCAGTGCTCCCCACCAACTCTCAAGGTTTCTTGCTAAACACCTCTCTAAATTCTTGGGCACTATCAGTCCAGCACATCTCAAACACTTGGATGATCTTCTCAATCACATTCGCAACATCAACATCAGTAACAAGAAACTCTGCAGCCTTGACGTAACTTCCCTATTCACCAAAGTACCTACTACACAAGCCATCGATCTCTTGTGCAGGAAAATTGACGATTCACTTGACATTCCTATTCCAGCCAGCGATTTCATAGGCCTTATTGAACTATGTGTTGGCTTTACGTGTTTCTCTTTCGAAAATCGCCTCTTTCAGCAAACTTTAGGACTACCCATGGGTTTGCCACTCAGTGCCGTACTGGAGAACCTATACATGGAACATTATTCCACCATTATTCCCTTGTCTGTCACCTGGCTCCGTTATATTGACGACATTCTCATCATAACTCCCAGACGCTTCACGTTCAAGCTCTCCAACACAAGCTCAACCATGTCGAGCCCTCAATCCAGTTCACACTTGAAGAAGAAATCGACAACACTCTTCCTTTCCTTGATGTTCTTCTCTGCAAAGCTCACCATGAACACGATCTTCTCCACTTCTACTCTCACCACGACACCAAAACTAAACATTGTGTAATTATAGGCTTTTTCCTGTGTGCACTCAGAATCTGCAGTAATGAGTTCCTTGAGGAAGAACGCACTGTAATTGAACAAGTATTTTCTAACCTTCACTATCCTCGTCACTTTAATACAGACTGCAGACGACGGGCATTAAACATCTTCAACACACCCAGAGAAGACATTGCCGAGAAGAGATACATAGTCCTCCCCACCAACTCCATTGCCAAACACGTTTCCAACATATTTTCTAAACCTCATTCCAAGTATCTACCTCCACATCCACCACCATCAAGGACATTACCAGTAATAGACAGGACAAGCTTCAATCCTCTGCAGGGGTATACATAATCCCTTGTAATGACTGCAGCAAATTATACGTGGGCGAAACATAGAGACCTTCAAACACGTATTTCAGAACACCAGTACACAGGCAGATCTGATGATTCAAAGAATGCTTGTGTTCAACACCGAAATTCACACAACCATTTAATCAACTACAGAAACACAAGACTTATCGCCAGAGAAGACAACACTCAATACCGAAGAATCCTGGAATCATCACTTATCTGTATATCCAACAACTTCAACCAGAACAACGGCTTCTATAACATAACTGAACCCCTCGCCAAGAAACTTCTTCATCACTGTCCCACATAAGAACATAAGAATGGAGGAACACTGCAGAAGATCTACTCATATACTTATCCAATCTCTTTTAAAAGCTACCCAAGGTTTTAGACTATCTACTCGGAAGATTGCCACATGCAGCTTTCTCCACCTGACCCAGCATTCCCATCCTATAAATACTCACGTATATTTCACCCAGGTAGATCTGTTTGTGACTTGATAAAGCCCACTGTGTGGGCGAAACGTTGTTAATAAAGAATCACATTATACTGCATATGTGTTTATATTTCCATTGTGTCGGTATTTTATACCATTTATTTTCACCACCACGTGTAGCAAATACCTTGGGTATCACCAGGTGTTCACAAATACCCTAGGTACCACCAGGTGTAGCAAGTACCTTGGGTATCACCAGATTCTCACAAATACCCTGGGTACCATCAGGTATATAGAACAAAAGTCAGAGATAAGATAGGTCCCCTTAAAAATAACTATGGGCATCTTACTGACAAAGAGAATGAAATGTGCTCGATTTTAAATAATTATTTTCTCTCGGTTTTTACACAGGAAGACACTAGTAGTGTTCCGGTAATTAATTTTTATAGTGGATCAGAAGAAGATAAATTATGTAACATCACAGTCACTAGTGAAATGGTTGTGAAGCAGATAGACAGACTGAAGCAAAATAAGTCACCGGGTCCTGATGAGGTTTTTTCAAGGGTTCTAAAGGAATGCAAAATGGAAGTCTGTGAACCATTAACTAATATTTTTAATTTATCTCTTCAAACAGGTGCAGTGTCTGATATGTGGAAGATGGCTAATGTAATTCCTATTTTTAAAACAGGGGACAAGTCGTTACCGTCAAATTACCGCCCAATAAGCCTGACCTCAATTGTAGGCAAATTACTAGAGTCAATTATAGCTGAGATTATAAGAAGCCATCTCGATAAGCATAGCTTGATTAATGATACTCAGCATGGATTCACAAGAGGCCGGTCTTGTCTAACTAATTTATTAACTTTCTTCAGTAAAGCTTTTGAGGCTGTTGACCACGATAAAGAATTTGATATTATTTACTTAGATTTTAGTAAGGCATTTGATAGAGTTCCGCACCAAAGACTGTTGAAGAAAGTAGCAGCTCATGGCATTGGGGGAAGGGTGCTCTCGTGGATCGAATCATGGCTCACAGACAGGAAGCAAAGAGTGTCCATAAATGGGGTTAAATCCGAGTGGGGATCAGTAACAAGTGGCGTTCCACAGGGATCAGTCTTGGGCCCGTTGTTGTATATATATCAATGATCTTGATGAAGGAATTACTAGTGATATGAGCAAATTCGCCGATGACACGAAGATAGGTAGGATAATTGATTCAAACGTAGATGTTAGGGAACTTCAGGAGGATTTAGACAAACTCTACTCTTGGTCAGAAAAGTGGCAGATGCAATTCAATGTAGATAAATCCAAGGTTCTGAAGCTCGGGAGTGTCCATAACCCTAGCACTTATAAGTTAAATAATGTAGAACTTAACCATACAGATTGCGAAAAGGACTTGGGGGTTATGGTAAGCAGCAACCTTAAACCAAGACAGCAATGCCTAAGCGTACGTAATAAGGCAAATAGATTACTGGGATTTATATCAAGAAGTGTAAGCAACAGAAGTCCAGAGGTCATACTGCAGGTTTATACATCATTAGTAAGGCCTCACCTAGATTATGCAGCTCAATTCTGGTCTCCATATTACAGAATGGACATAAATTCGTTAGAAAACATTCAGCGTAGGATGACTAAATTAATACATAGCATTAGAAATCTTCCTTATGAAGAAAGATTGAAGACTCTTAAGTTACATTCACTTGTTAGACGAAGAATGAGGGGAGACCTGATCGAAGTGTATAAGTGGAAGATAGGTATTAATAAAGGGGATATTAACAAGGTCTTGAGGATATCTCTCCAAGAGAGAACCCGCAGTAATGGATTTAAATTAGATAAGTTTAGATTTAGAAAGGACATAGGAAAGTATCGGTTTGGAAATAGGGTAGTAGATGAGTGGAACAGTCTACCTAGTTGGGTTATTGAGGCTAGGACTTTGGGTAGTTTCAAATTAATGTTGGATAAATACATGAGTGGGATAGGTTGGATTTGAGTGGGACTTGCACATCAGAGCTTATTTCTTGGGTAGCATTGAAAATTGGGTAGGTCAAATGTTTGTTAGTGGGATGAATTGTAAAGGACCTGCCTAGTATGGGCCAACAGGCCTGCTGCAGTGTTCCTCCTTTCTTATGTTCTTATGTTCTTATGTAACAAGTACCTTGGGTATCACCAGGTGTAGCAAGTACCTTGGGTACCACCAGGTGTTCACAAGTACCCTAGGTACTACAAGGTGTAGCAAGTACCTTGGATACCACTAGGTGTAACAAGTATCCAGGTTGCGTACCTGGGTACCACCGGGTGTAGTGAGTACCCTGGGTACTTACCTGGCTGCTACCAGATGTTCACAAGAACCTTGGGTACGTACCTGCGTGCTACCAGATGTAACAAGTACCCAGGTTACGTACCTGGATACCACCAGGTGTAGCAAGTACCCAGGGTGGGTACCTGAGTACCACCAGGTGTTCACAAGCACCCTGGGTACTTACCTGGGTGCCACCAGGTGTAACAAGTACCCTCTGTACGTACTTGGGTGTTATCAGGTGTTCACAAGCACCCTGGGTACGTACCTACATGCTACGAAGTCTAGCATATACCCCGGGTACGTACCTGAGTGCTACCAGGTGTAACAAGTACGTTCTGTACGTACTTGGGTGCTACTAGGTCCAGCAAGTACCCTGGGTACGTACTTGGCTGCCACCAGGTGTTCACAGGAACGCTGAGTGCCACTGTCCCTGTATGACCCCAATTTCCAGTGGGTCGACCTTGCTATCACAACAGATAAGTACCCTTGCTTGCCCCGGATTACCAGGCACTCTGTACCTTGCTTGTACACTCTCTGCATAGCCGTGATGGGCATGAGTATCTTCCTGTTGGCGGTGGGCGTGCTGTGGGCGGCAAGATGGGTGGACGCTCATGGGCGATTGATGGAGCCAGTGTCCAGGTCATCAGCTTGGAGGAAAGGCTTCAACACTCCCGTCAACTACGATGACAACGAACTCTTCTGTGGAGGTTTTGGAGTGAGTACTGCTACCCACAACAGCCTGGTTTAAAGCTCCTCTTGTGAGAATGTCAGCCAAAACAGAGGTTCACAACTGGCGTTACTAGGACTTGTTATTACTGAGACTTGTTGTTACAGAGACTTGTTGTTACACAGACTTGTTGTTAGAGAGACTTGTTACAGAGACTTCTTGTTACAGAGACTTGTTGTTACAAAGATCCATGATGTCACAAGCCTGGTAATTTATTCTGACTATATCTGTAGTTTCATGTTCCTGTCTTGTCCCTCAAAGACTGGTAGATCTATTTCTATATTGAAGACCTGTGTATTGTAACACCAACCTTCCCCTTGCTTCAAGTACCTCATTTTACTACCCATCCTAGGTGCTACTCTTCCCTAGGTGATACACTTGCCTAGTCTTGGTAATTACATCTAACACTCACCTTCAACTGCTAAGCAAGTTTTCTCCTCTACGCTTCCCGACATCATTACCTTCAACACCGAGGCACATAACAGTCTGATCTGTGCTTCCTTAACTAGCCATGATTCTCCCTAAATCACTAGCTACATTCTTCATCCTAGTAAGCCACATGTGGAACAGATGGGTATCTTAATTGTTGACAGTTAAGATACCCAATGGCTGCACATGTGTCTTACTCGTCAACTCATCAGTATTGTATACCATTTTCATTATATCCTTCAACCTAGTCTTAGGGATAGATGAACAACTTCTGCTTGGTAATACAATGAAGCAACTGGTAGTCTCGACAGTTGATATATCTACTCTCATCTTTTTCACCTTCAATTCAGTCTTACAGGTCAATTTCCACTTGTTGAGTCTGGAGTTCTCTTTCTTTTTCCACGGATGATGCTTCTTGTTCTCTCTGAGAAGCTGTTTCTCTCACTTTCACACAGGTACAGTACCTGTGTACCCTGGATGATACACTCACTATGTACCTTACTCTTACACAGGTACAATACCTACAGAACGATGGTCAGTGTGGAGTGTGTGGTGACAACTGGGCTGACCCACAACCCAGGGATAACGAGGCTGGTGGCACCTATGGTACTGGCACAATAGTGGCTAACTACACAATGGGACAGGTAACTACCTATGGCACCATCACTGCTAATTACACCATGGGTCGGCTGTAGTTAGAATGCTCTAAACCCATGCTGATCGTCCATTGATGCCTTGGATCAAGATCCAATAACAGCAGATCAACCATGCTGTTAGATAAATCCCGTAAAGAAAAGATTTTGGATGAGTGGACTAATAACCTGAGAGCAGAGCCTATAAGTTAATAAATCAGTCATCAGTAATCAGTGCTAGATAACTGTTGTGGGTGGCATCCTGGGTAGGGTGAGACGTATGGGTAACTCTCCTAACACATACTGCTGCTGCTGTCACTGTTTATCTAGCACTAAATAGGTACCTTTTCAGATTCAAAGTTTATTTCCAAATGACAGTGTTTATACAGAAATGGATAACACTTGAATACAGCCACAAAGTCCAGTTTGGGTAAACTTAATCCTAACTTAAGATTATAAGGGCAGCAAACACTACATATACGTATTGAAAGTCATTAATGTATACACACAAGATACAACCAATGACTATATAATGACTGTATATGTAAGTAGATTAAATATATCATTGTATATGTTTATAAGAATTATTTGGGTTATAGTCTAGTAAGTTAATAAGTACAATTTTTGACATTAGATGACATACAGATCAAGAACTCGATTCCTCACAGCAGTGAATATTCACAGTAATAGTTGTGTATTTTAATTTCTAAAAAAAGAAAGTTTCTTTGAAAAAATAACACAAGTAACTGTTGACTGGTGTGTGGATGGCATCCTGAGGTACAAGACTGAAAGTACCCCACTGGAAATAAGCCAGACAGTACCCGGTGATGCAGTAACTTAACTGGATTATCCTGGGAGATAACAAACCTCCGGGTTAATCCCAACAGATCTCTAAAGCATCTTGTCTTCTCACTTTGCAACACTATGCATCACTAGGAGGTCACAGTGGAGGTGGATCTCACCAAGAACCACCTGGGTCACTTTGAGTTCCGCCTCTGTGTCAATAACAACATCACCAAGATCATCACTCAGGATTGCCTGGACCAGCACCTGCTCCAGCTGGCTGATGGAACTGGCACTAAGCAATACATCTATGCTGAGGTGAGTCTTACCATGTTAGTATTGGCTGCCATCCCATACCCAACAGAAAAAGTTGATTATCCTGGACAGGCTCCCATTATCTGTTCATCTCTGATAGACCCCCATTGTCTTCTGATCATTCTGGACAGAATCCCATTAATATCTGATCAGCCCAGACAGACCCCCATTGACATCTTATCATTTCAGTCAGGCTCCCATTGTTATCTGATCATCTCAGACAGGCTCCCATTGCTTTCTGATCACCTCAGACAGGCTTCCACTATTATCTGATCACCTCAGACAGGCTTCCACTGTTATCTGATCATTTCAGACAGGCTTCCACTATTATCTGATCACCTCAGACCCCTAATCATTTAAAATACTTGTTCAGTGCCCCTGTTTGGTCAGTAACTCTGTTAATTGGCAGACCAGTAGCTGGTCTGCCTATTAACCCAGCTCTGGGAAGGTGCAGCCCCATTTCCTTGGATCTAAACCCCATCACTCTCATCTCCCCAGACTACAGGTAATCTCCCCTTTGTTGATACATTACCCTTCAGTCAGGAGTAATAGAGAAAACTTCCCTGGAGGATATTTTTGGGGGTCAAGAGCTGATTAGCCAGGCTATTCCTGCTAGCAGATAATTTTGTTATTATTTTCAACAGGATCCTGAGTGGCACTACACCACTGTTAGACTACCAGATGATGTAGTGTGCAGTCAGTGTGTTCTGCAGTGGCACTACCACACTGGTAAGGTGCCATTATTATTGTTCTTGTTATTATCATTATTATTAATATTATTATTAATGTAAATGAGTAATTGCTAGAGGAAAGTTGTAACAAGTAGTGATATACTTACAGCAAACAGTTGGGGCACTTGTGACAATGGCACTGAAGCTCTGGGATGTGGCAACCAGGAGATCTTCAGAGGCTGTGCTGATGTCAGTATTTATTAAGTGACGTCTCGTTGACATTTCTTGATGCCTGCCACAGCTACGTCTACTGTTTTCAAGATATCTTCAAGACATCATGATGCAGATTAGCTTCCCTTAAGACACTTTCACAGGTATTAAGTAATTTATGTTCGTCTTCACCTAGATGGAGTTTCCTGAAGACATCTTCAATTAGTTGGAGTTCACACAAGATATTTTCACTTAGTTGGAGTTCACCCAAGACATCTTCAGTTAGTTGGAGTTCACCCAAGACATCTTCACTTAGTTGGAGTTCACCCAAGACATCTTCACTTAGTTGGAGTTCACCCAAGACATCTTCACCTAGATGGAGTCTTCTAATTATCAAGTAGGATAACTAGAAGAGCTACTATTGTATATCTATGCTTCATAATAAAGTTATTTGAAATTATTAAACATAAACAAAGAATATTGTTGATGGTATCTCCTCCAATCACAGTGCAGCTGACCCCTTAACTATACTGATAACAACCAATCAGCGAGATGCTGGAGCTTGCATGCGCCCTATTGGCTGAGGAGGCTCTGAATACTCAGCCAATCACATATGTCCACTCAGCTGTCGTTCGGGGAAGGAACGAGCACTCTCATTGGTAAAACAAATTGCAATCAAACAGCCAATAACTGTGGCTGTTTGAAAAATTGATTTCAAAATTGTTGAGGGACTGACCACCTTCTGTTACAAAAAAAAAAAAACGATTTCTTATAAGCATAGAGATCTCCAGGTAATACTAGAAAGGACTGCCCTTCTAGCATCCAGCCTGTTACTGGGTTTTCGTAACAGTTAGTCAGTATCCTGGTCCAATTATCATTAGAATTCAGTAAGATTCCATAGTGCTTCAGTATTACAACTGGTAGGCTACTAACTAAAGAAATTAAAATTTAATAAGTTCATTTATTTTTTTTTTATTCGCCGGTATTCTCCCGGCCCGGGTCTTTTCCAAGTAGTGGTGACCCGGCCTTGGCTCCCTATCTGGGGAGTGTCTCGAGACCTAAGTCTCCCATGGGAGGAGGTACAAGTACCCCCTCATCTTTGGGACCAACTGTCCCCAGGCCTAGCCACAGTCCCCGCCCTCACGGGGTTTGTAGGGAAAAGCTAGGCCTCTGGTCTGCCATCTGCCCCACCCCAAAGGGGCTCGTGGGGATGGTAGTCTTTTTTTTTTTTTTTTTTTTTTAGTTTATTTATTAAAGTTGTCTAGGCGTATATTATCAAATTAAATGAAATTAGTCAATATAAACAAATTAATAATAATCACTTCTCTCGTGTACAGTAGTATTGTGCTGAAGGCACATAACACATCTCTATGACTTATAAGTACCTTCTGGCACTTTGTTAACATTTAATAACATAATACAAATATATACAAGTAAGTGTGTATGTGTGTAAGTGCTTTAAGTAGTTCGCTATGTCTCAAGACTCGACTAGACTTAACCCGTGACTGACTAAAAGTCCTCACATAAAATAACTTCTTGACCAACCTGGCAATCAGAACATCTTGCTTGTACAATAAAAATGACTGATAAGCCCAACAACAATATAACAAGCAACAGCGACACAGAATCAGGAACAAGGAGATAATATAACGACACTAAGTAGGGACCATCTGCAGATCTTCCACAAAAGTCACAAAACTCCCATACTACTGAATCTAAGTTCAGCATAAGAAAATCCCCGACTGTGACAGCGCATAGATACCAGTACAAATTAGGTCAGAAACTACAGCTCAGGACCTGAGTTACTCAGAGTGTCTATGTGACACACAACCTCAGTACAAAGTCGAAAATCACTAAGTCTAAGCAATATTCTGTGAACAGAGTTGCACAGAACCAAGAACAAGAAAGCGGCAGAGATGATCTTCCAACAAGGGCCAGCAAGGGAGAGCTAGGCACGTCTTGTTCTGAGAACATCCAACAGACAATAGAGAGCGCAGCCCAGACAGACTACTCCAGACAAGGTGTGATCACACCCTCCGATCACGTGACTCCGTGAACTGCTGCTGCTCAGCAACACAGAGAAGCCAGCAGGGAAACAAGCAGAACTGGTAGTTAGACAATGCTGTCTGCTACTTAACACTCTCGAACTACAAGCACTGAATAATATATAAAAATGTTTCATCCTACCTAATAAATATAAATAAGTCAAATAATAATATATAGCAATATATTTACGATTTGGCTATTATCGCAAATATATGCAATATAAAATTATATGAACAGGTAATACACATTATATACATTGTGACCCATTCAGGGGTCGCAATACCCCCCCAACATGACAAATGGTCACACTAGGAGTTGCGTTAATGTCTTTCATATGATTACTGTGATTACTCATGTCAATTTAAGTTTCTGTAGTTTATCAAGTGGCTGTGTGAATTACGGTGTTGTACACAGGCATTCCTTGTATCGTCAGACCTGCTTGTGTATTGGTGTTCTGAAATACGTGTTTGGAGGTCCCTTGATGTTTCGCCCACCTATAATTTGTTGCAGTCATTACAAGGGATTATGCATACCCCTGCAGAGGTTAGTTTAATATGTTTATTATGCACCACATACCCATCCTGTGGGCGGTAGTCAAAAGATTACAGAGGTACATAATGGGCCCAGGGACTGGGCCTCAAGTTTTGATAGCTGAGCAAGTTACAGAGGTAATGAATTCACAATTTACAAAGGTAATGAACTCACAATTTACAAAGGTAATGAACTCCAGGTAGGTCTAGTCACAATCATGACAAGTTACAAAGGTATTTACAGATTACAGAGGTACACAATGGGTCCAGGGACCAGGCTCCAAAGTTTTGATGGCTGAACTAGGTACAAGGTAATGAACTCACAAGTTACAAAGGTAATGAACTCACAAGTTACAAAGGTAATGAATACTGTAAGAATGGTTACTTACGTTTATACATGGCTGCAATCATGAACAAATTTTAGAGTAATGAGCAATTCACGCTTCCACACCCGGTCACAACTGTAGTGAGTTATTGGTGCAAATGTTGATTGCTGAGTCTCTCTCTCTCACACACACACACACACACACATAACAAATTCATACACACACACACATAACACAACACACACACACACAAACACACACACACACACGCACACACACACACACACACACACACCACACACACACCACACACACACACATACACACACACACACACACACACATACACAAACTCATACACACACACGCACACACACTCATACACACACACACACACACTCATACACACACACACACTCATACTCACACACACACACACACACACACACACACACACACACACACACACACACACACACTCACACACTCTACACATACACACAAACACACACACACACACACACACACACACACACACACAACACACACACACAAACACACACCACACATGCACATATGTGGTAATGCTTTATTTACAGCTAGCAAAGTCAGGGTATTTCTCCAGAATGGTCTGTAATGTACCACTGTGGATAAAAACTTAGCCATTTCTTGAACACTTCTGAGTGAGTTGTTTCTAAATTCATTAATTTTATCGCACTCCAGTACATAATGACGCAGGGTGTGACAATAATCCATCTGGCAAAGTTTACATTTCGTTTGGTCTACATCTGGTGGTGGTGATTTAACCTGCCAAAGATACTTGTAACCCAGCCGGAGCCGGGCGGTAGTGACATCCAAGAGTCTGCTTATTTTGTTGGATGCACCATAGACATGTGGCTCCTCCTGCATGATAGAATGATGATAGATGGACTCACTGGTGTCAATTCTCCCTGAGCCTTAAGTCCATAAAATTCAAGCTGAAGTTCTTTTCGTATTATTGTTCTCAAACTACTACCTGACAAGCCAAGATTGTAATCTACTCCCTCTTTGAAAGCATACAGCTTAGCCAATTTTCAGTTCTATCATGCATCTGAAGACCAATGTGAGATGGAATCCACAGCATGTGCACTCTGACTCCACTGTCCACAATCCTACCATACCTGTGTCTGGCTTCTGACACAAGCATGCCACAATTTATGCTTAATGAGTTGAGAGCATTTTAGGGATGACAGAGAATCAGTTACAATTAAACTGTCAATCTTTGATACATAGATGCATTTCAGTGCAAGGAGTATGGCAAACAGTTCTGTCTGAAGGGTAGAGGCCCAATTATTGATGCGTGCTCCAATTTCTTTAAGAGAGCCATCACTCTGTACGACAACAGCAGCACTACCAGCTGCACCAGTGGATTGGTGAACAGAACCATCAACGTAAATAATTTGCGAGAGTGTGTGCTGTGTGACTAAGTTATCAATACAGCTTAAGGCCTCATGTTTGGCTTCAAGGCGAAGTTTTGGTTGTGATTTAAGAAGTAGTTTGGGGGAAATGGAGGAATGGTAGTTTGGAATAGGGTAATATTCCATGGAGCGGAGAAGTGCCGCTGTTGCCTTACTTGACATAGATCATGTATTGATTCATGCGGAGGTCGGTTCCAGTCTTTTCGATCCATCTGGAGGAGTGTTCACCAGTGCTGAGGAAAGTTTGGAGGGCTTCTGTGCAGGGGTTTGAATGAGCTTGCCTGAGCATATTAACCCCAATTAGGATATTTCTTCAGTAACACGATCTCTGATGCTTGGAATATCAAGTTCTTTTTGCATATTTAAAATTTTGGCAGTACGAGGGCATCCTAGGATGATCCTCATTGCTTCGTTCTGCAGTTTTTCCAGCCCTCCAAGCTTCCAGTCAGACACAAGAGCAAGTAGTGGCGCAGCATAATCAACCAATGATCTAATATAAGCAAGATACATCATTTTCACAATTTTAACATTAGCACCATACCTGGGGTGAAGCCCTGCCACAACTCTAAGTGCTCTTAGTCGTTCTTTGTATTGGCGACAAAGTCTTGTTACAACAGGTCCAAGTAGTGGAACCTCAAAGCCTAGATACCTGTATCTGCGTACATATTCTAGAAGAGACCCATCATGCAATTGGATCTGACGAACTGTGCCTCTCTGTCGAGGAGGACGCCTATTGAGTATCTTTGTTTTATCAGTAGAGATTATCAACCCCAGGTCCTGACACGAGGCTAGTACATGATTAAGAATGTTTTGGGTGTTGGAGAATCCGGTGGTGTGAATCATTATATCTCAGCAAAAACTAATCACATAATTATGGGGCTGACTAGGCATAGCATTAAAGTAATGCATTAATTAGAATATTGAACAGTGTGGGACTGAGCACACCTCCCTGTGGGGTTCCTAACTCAAAGTCTTTAGTTACACTTCTATGTCCCTGGAACAACACAGACGATTTTCTGTTGGACAGGTAGCCTTTAATCCAGCGGAGAAGCCATCCTCCAACATCCATTCTGGCAAGTTCACTAATTATTACATGTCGGTTGGCTACATCGAAAGCGGATTTAAGGTCAAGGAAGGTAGTGTAGGAGCTGTCAGTGTGCAGGGTGAGAAAGGTGGCTATGCAATGATGCACGCTCCTTCCATGCATGAAACCATGTAGAGGGGTGGAAGCTTGTCCTGTCTATCACTGGTAATGCCCTTGATGGTCGTGGTTGTGGA